CGGCCCCCAGGCTGCGGAGGCGGGGCCTTTCAGCCAGCGGCCCCCAGTCTGTGGACCAGTTTGACCTGCAGCTTCGTTCTGCTGACTCTGTGGAGGTTTTTAAAAAGCAACTGAAAACACTTTTATTCTCCCGGGCTTTTATCTCATGATTTTATTCTGCTTCTTGAAGTTCTTATGATCGTTTTATTCTTCGTATATTTTAGTGTTGATTTTTATTGGACAGCGCTTTGTGGTTTTATGTCTGTGATAAGCGCTTTACAAATAAACTTTACTTACTACTTACAAATGAACAGGTCACACTATGATAAACAACACGGGAACAATCTGAAGAAATTAATTCACGTCTATCTTGGGGGATGGTCCTCGAGTGTACCTGGTTGGTCATTCAGGTTAGACTTCTGGTCACATGACGACAGAGTGGGTGGAGTTATGGTTGGGTATTGGAAACCTGAGCAAGAGTCGTTGTACATCTGATTACCTGAGGGCGTTCTCTCTGTGTCACGAACGCCTGCCCCCATGAGGGGTGAGGCGCTGGGAGCCACGAGTGCTCAGCGCTGTCATAGGAAAATGTTAGTCAGTGGCAGGAAGTCCTTCAAAATAAAATATAAATTTTTATTTTTATTTTTTCATTCAACCTTTATTTAGACAGGTTAATCCCATTGAGCCTCATAAATAAGATGCTCCAGCATATAAACCGTGGGGTACAAAGTGTGAGACAAAAGTAGCAACTTATAGAACAGAAATTATGGTATATATGGGTTTGACAGCCCGATTTTTGATCGTGACCTTTCTTATGCCTTCATGCAGCTGCACATCAAAATGGAAGTCAGTACAATGTTTATTTTTTACAAGCTTGACGGACTGTCGGGGGGAGTACGCCCCAGGGCCTGTTTGAAGCGTGCACTGCTGCAGAGATCTTTGTCATATTAGCTTGCATGCTAGTTAGCTTGTCACTATGCTCATTAGCTGCACTCTGAAGGTCAGAAGTAGTTTCACTTTGCCAAGCACCTTTTTCAGCTGTTTTAGAGCAGCTGCCACTTCTTTCTTAACAAAATCAGCTATAATCAACTCAAGTTTAGTGATAAGTTCTGCTTGGATCTGTCATTAGCTTCATGCACTGTAGCGTCTGTGCATTAGCATCTGGCTTTTAGAGACAGTCTGGTTCTGAGGTTTTATGGCACAGTCCAGCTCTGCCGGTCCATCAGTTTTTCATCCAAAGGAATTACATTTTTTCAGGTAAGACTCGGAGGATGTAGAGATCCTGATAACATATCTGTGGGAAGTGACTGACAAACTTTAAGTGTTAATCAATATACTGGTGTATCATAATCACATTCCAGCAGAGCTACCGTGAAACATGCTCGTCCACCCAAAGCCTGTAGTCCAGACTCCGAAGATGATTAACAGGTCTCTCTTGTAAATGAGTCCTCGTGACTCAATGAGACTACCGTCTAGAAATAACGCTTGAATGAACAAACAAAAAAAAGAAACTGTCCAGATGACCTGACTGAAATGTGTTGGATTGTATACCTGGATTATTGAGCATGGACTTTTTTGGTTTTGAACCAGTTTGACATGACTGTCGACGAGGAAGAGGGCCGGCAACAGAGGAGGGGGTGTGCCAAAGAGACCATCTTAGCACCAACATAACTGGTTTGTTCCACTTTGGAGTAAACTGTTGGGGGAAGAATCAGTTTTGTGTTGTGTGTTTCCTTGACTGATGAAGCCTTCTGGATGGAAGGTGAAACGTTTCAGCACAAACAAAAAAAAGAAACCGTCCAGATGAACTGACTGAAAATTGTTGGATTGTATACCTGGATTATTGAGCATGGACTTGGTTGGATTGAATGAACAGTTTTTTCACTTGTTTCATCAAAATTCCATAGTTTGTGGGGACGTTTTCACATTATTGATGAAGTTTGTCCACGTCTGACCAAATACTGCTACTGACAGTCAGAGCACACCATTACCACCAGAGCCGTATGTTCGATTGTATATTTTTTATGGGCTTTCCCAAAACTGCAAATCAAACGTTGCTATGGAAACAATAAACTTAATGTTTCTTCAGTGCCGTTCACTCGCACTATTAATAACGGAGGCATATTTTTGTCTCATTTATTCACTGCCTCTGCGTTTTGCTCTTGACTTGTGCTTTCATTTCACAACTTGTCAGCTTGACGTACATTTCTTTACAGGTACCAGCAAATCATGCACCACCACATGCAGAACGAGGAGTATGGAGAAGTGGTCGAGGCCTGCAAGCAGTATGGAGAGCAGGAATGCTGCCTTTGGGAACAGGCCCTCGGATATTTTGCCAGAAAGGAAGAAGACTGTAAGGCCTACATCAGTGAGGTTCTACGCCACATTGATCAGAAAAACCTGATGCCTCCATTACTTGGTGAGCTGTTCAACGTTTGAACTCACAGAAACATTCAGGATAAGAAATGAGCCAAAAACAAAAGTCAAGCTTCACTGTAGCTTCTGTGATTGGCTGGTCGATCCAACAAACACAACACTGTGTCACAAACTGTAAGAATAAAATTATATCTTCCTCATTTTCTGTGTGCACATTACCTGCCAGGATGTGCTTTAATCTAGATTATTGTTACAAGACTTAAACTTTTTGGATTATACAAAAATAAATAAAAAAATCTACAGTCTCAGACAAATGAGTTGGACTCTTTACAGCTCACTGAAACAATGACTCGTTTCTCTGGAAAAGTGATTCCACTCACTTTAAAGCAATTATCTGATAACGAGGGAGTTTTTCTTTCCACTGTCGCCGTCATGCTCGCTCAAGATGAGAGTTCTGTGATGGAGTTAAACTCAAAGCTGCTCCTCTGATAAATAATGTTAAATTATTATTTTATAGATGAATGTTTCTGTTCAGTCCCTGAGACGACTTCTGGTGTGACTTGGAGCTTTAGAAATAAACTGAATTAAATATCTGCACGCCTTTACCCTCAGAAACTGTGTAAAGGAATTGTTTTTTATTTTACATGTATCTGTTAAAACAATATGGACAGAGTTGTTGGTACTCAAAGAAGTATGGACTGTTGGTCCTTGCATTGTGGTTGGAGCAGAATTTATTTACCGTAACGCACCTGTCTCTGAGCCGCACTTATTACATATAAGATAAATCATCATTTACTTCATTAATAAGACACGCCGGTTATTTAGCCACGGGCATCCACTGTTTATGGTCGGGATCTGTGCCCCCAGACTGCTCCGGCATAATGTGCAGCTTTGTTGTCGTACAAGAATCGACCAGCAGATGGTGATTCACAGAAACCTCAACACACGCTCAGACTGCAAGATCATCAGGAGTCACCATGAAGCTTCTCTGTCTGACTCGTGGTTACAACCAGTATACCTTCAAAATGAACACAGTAACTATCTACACATAATCACTGGACAGAACAGAGCCGAACACCTGCGTAACTGAAATTATTAGAAAATCATTTACAGGTAAAACCCAGTCTTATCTGGGTCATGTGACCGGGAGTCAAATAAATACTGGCGGAATGTGTAAATATTCTTTAAATTAGTACCGTTGATTTTTATTGGTAAACACGTTAACAGCTGCTGTTTTTAAATGTACTTTTTAAATAAATTTGACGTGACTTCTCCTCAGTGCCGCTCATATGAGCAGAACACTGAACAAATTGAACATTGGGAGGGGGAACATGCCCCTGTTTCAGCTTCAACGAGATACTGGTATTTAAACACATATTTACCGTACACACAAAGATTTTTTTTTTTTAACTTTTATTTAAATATGCACCAGTCTTGACTGACTGCTCTAAAAATAAATCTGATGACTTCTCCACCGCTGTGCTCTCATGGACGGAAAGGGGAGGGGGAAGATCCTTTCTCCGCTTTGTGTTTGGATGTGAGTTTAAAATGAGATCCCGGTATTTAAACGCATATTTACCAACAGAAATATGTCACACAGAAAGGATTTTAAAACTTATTAAAACATGTACCAGACTTGACTGCTCCAGTGCCCGAACATCGACGTGTTGATGCAGAGCTTACGGGCTGCAGCTGTTTCCTCGTCAAAAGAAATCCTCCGTGCGTTTTCCATTATCACTGAACAAATGAACAGGTCTGTGCACGAAGAGCAACATCCCAACACAGGAACGATCTGAAGAAATGAATGCACGTCTGTCTTGGAGGATGGTCCTTGAGCTTACCTTGTTGGTCACTCAGGTTAGACTTCTGGTCACATGATGACAGAGTGGGTGGAGTTATGGTTGGGTATTTGAAACAGTGAGCAAGAGTCGTACATCTGATTACCTGAGGGCGTTTTCTCTTTGTTACAAACACCTGTCCTCACGAGGAGCCATGAGCACCCAGCTCTGTCAGAGGAAAATGTTAGTCCCTGTAGTACTGGGCAACGGCCTCCTGCGAGTCAGCAGCTCGTATGTTCCTCCATGATGACCAGCGGAGCTCACAGAGCGCGCCACGCCGGGATCCTGAGCCCCGAGTCGCATCAGGCCACGGTGTTGTCACTATTGTTTTTAAAATCTTTAAAATGGGTCCAGCTGCTGCTCCAAGTTCTGAGAAATTACTAATGTTGGATCGGTGTTTTGAAAAGTTTCTGACAGATCATGACTCTGCCCCCTGACCAATCAGTGACGGACGGTGCTCGGCCCGGTTGGAAACACAGAGCCAAGGGTTCTGACAAAGGGACCGGTTCTACGTACCTGTACTAATGGTAAAGGGGCATTAGTCAGTAGCAGGAAGTTACCAAGAGACAGCAGGAAGTCTTTCAAAATAAAATATAAAAATGTAACTTTTGAAAATTATGAAAAACAATGCTTAAATAAGACGCTCCTGCATATAAACTGCGGGGTACAAAAGTAGTGGCTTATACAATGGAAACTACGGTAACTTTTATTTAAAATAAAGCCGATCAGACAACTAGCAGGAGCTTTCTGAGGAGATCGAGTCAACACGGGGTTAAACATCAAGCACTTTACAAAATGAATGAACAACAATTAAACAATCATCAGAGGCTGAGCAGATGAATCCACTTTGATATTTCAGGGTTCTTCTCTTACGATAGTCTTATTATTGAGGTGAGAAACAACATGTTGTCTCACAAGTCAACGTCCACAGAGCCTTCGTGGCTCACGTGTGTTCCTGCCATGGCCAGCTTCCTTACACACACAAGTTAAGACTTTTTACTTTCCTTTCCAGCCGTGAGCTGAGCATTTGACTTTAGTTTCACATGAGCCTTCAGCGTTTCATCCCGGGACCAAGCAGCACCTGGATGGGTTGATGTGTTTCTACACTGAACATTAACAGATGGAGTCAGAGCAGCTCAGACAGAAGATTATAGATGATCCGTGTTAAAGGACCATCTCCAAGCTGCTCCATGTTTCTCTGATCACAGCTGCCAGTTTTATTGTGAAGTAGAATGTGAATGGGACTGAAGGCCTCAGAGGAAATGTAAGCCCAGGGTGATGAGACAACTGGAGCGTTGTGGCTCCGGCCACATCAGCTCCATGTTAAAATAATCAAATGACTCGTTCAGAGTGAAGCACCTGCTCCGACACTTGGAGGCTTTCAGCAGTTTTAGGGTCTTTTTACTGCACCTGGCAGGAGGAACGATGAGTGCAGGGCGTAGGCGTGAAACTGCCTCGTGTCAGTAACTCAAAGTGAACAGGTAGAAGCTTCAAGAAGGACTGAGAACAAACTAACATGTAACTCTTGTGAAAGGCCTCCATGAGCTCAGAGCTTAATGTGAGAAGTGCGTCGTGGACACGTCGGTCTTCAAACCTGACTCGGCTGGAGCGGTTGGCTCCGGAGGAGGGGGCTCCACTGTCTGTTGATGCAGACGTCTTCTTCTACAGTAGCTGCTTCCAAAGGTGCTGCTACAAAACATTAACTGAGGGCACGTCGTTCTGTTTGCATCTGTCGATCATGAAATGTGCAACGGAAGCACTCATCCACGCAGAGTCTGACTCGTGTCTAAATGTTTCTGTGTCGAGTTAAACCAGAGTTTTTTATTGACCTCAAAGTACCAACACCTTTGTCCATGTGTGCGCTTGGATGTTATAACAGGATAATGTTTTGCAGTTTATAATGATGTTTAATGTAGAAACTGCATCTGTTGTTTGTGTCCCAACTAGTTGTGCAGACCCTGGCACACAACTCGACGGCCACGCTGTCCGTGATCAAGGACTACCTGATCAGTAAGATGCAGAGAGAGAGCCAACAGATCGAGGACGATGAGCACAAAATCAGCCAGTATCGGGAGGAAACTGCTCATGTCCGCTCCGAGATCCAGGAGCTGAAAACCAGGTGATACATTTTCCTGATGCGTTGCTCGTGTCCGTGCTGCGCACGACACCTGCAGACGTCTGACTGGCCTGCCTGATCTCCACACAGTGCCAAGATATTTCAGAAGACCAAGTGCAGCATGTGCACCAGCCCCCTGGAGCTTCCATCTGTCCACTTCCTGTGCAGCCACTCCTTCCATCAGCACTGCTTTGAAAGCTATGCAGAAAGCGAGGCGGAGTGTCCAACGTGCACGCCAGAGAATCGTAAAGTCATCGATATGCTGCGTGCTCAAGACCAGAAGCGTGACCTGCATGACCTTTTCAACCGACAGGTAAGAAAACACCTGCGGTGTGTTCAGCGTTAGCGCCGCACGTTTAGAGTTTGCTGTTTGAACACAGTTAATTTAACGTTTCTTACTTTAGTTTCTTACAAAATGTGTTTGAAATGTTGCAGATTTTCTCTAGATGTGAATTTCTTGTTTTCATTTCAGCTACACAGCTCTAATGACGGGTTTTCGGTTGTGGCAGACTACTTCGGTCGAGGAGTGTTCAACAAACTGACTCTGGTCACAGACCCTCCTGGTAGCAAACCTAGTGGGGGTCTGGAAGCCAACCTGCACCGAGACCTCGCCCACAACCAAAGGAACGGTTAGAGGAGCCAACGTGTGTAGATGTTCTCCACACCGTGCTTTGTTGCACAAGCCTCCTGTTAGTGTGTTGCACTCTTTGTGTTACAGTTTGTACAAAACAATATATTGTGCATAAATACCACACAATATTCAATAAATTCAATCATTTATTAAATTAATACAGTCAATCCTAATAAACTGAATGATTCAAATTGTGAAGGTTGTTTATTTGTAATTCACTGGACTTTTAAAACGAACTGTATACTATTATTTATTTATTTGTTTTTCAGAAAATGATATACAGGTGTTAAAAAATCTTGTGCTTTAATCCAGACGTGGTTTTCGGGGAGAGCCGGTGCTTAGTTTGCAAACCAAACTATGACGTAATGCAAAAAGTGTGTGTGTGTGTGTGGGGGGGGGGGGGGGCGGTGATCCTCCCCCAGATAATGTTGAATAAAGTAGATGTCATTTCCTGCTTTCTGGTGTATTTTAACGGTTGTTAAACATCTATGTTTACCTACATAAGTAATAGTGGTATAACAATAAAACAAGAACGGCTCAACGGACAGAACTCATGTCGTGTGCAACAACAGGTGCCAGTGAGAGTTCAAATACTCGGGAAACAACAAATTTGTCCGTTCACCTGAAGAAGAGACACGGCATTGATAGCCATGTTCTGTAAACTCAGTATCTGGTTTTGTTTCTTTACAACTGAAAGGTAGTCAGGACACTCTAGTTAACTAGTGTTGGGCGAAACAATGTCCTATCTTCTCTTCCCCTTCCCGGGCTGTTTGCTCGGAAGGAACACACTTATGTCAAAATTAAAGAACATCTTTATTTTTACAGGCTTCAAAATGAGTGAACAAGAGATAATTGTATATATATATATTACCTGACATCAAAGGGGCCTTGAACAGTACAATTCTGATGTGTGTCATGTCTGTTCCCACACTTAGACTGTTTTCTCTACCCTGTGACACTTCCTGTTTTAAATTTCTATCCAATCAATCAGGTACACATTAGCTGTCATCTCTTTCAACTGAGCATGTGATACATTTCTCTTTCCATTACAAATTTTATCACACACACATAATCTCACAGTGACTGTGAGACTGATTATCCTTTTGATAACTTATTACCTTTTCAAGTCTTAGAATGCTCTACGGTCGTTCTGACCTATTAAGTTGCTCTTTAACTCATTAATTATTTTATAATCCCCACACATACTCAAATGATAAGTATAATTTAACTTTATAGTTAATCTTATTTAACTGAACAAGAACCTTTGAGTTAGTTTTTTTTCCTCATTAAAGGCCTTATAAGGAACTATTTTCTTACTGATGCCTGATATTCTAGTCATCTTTATATGATCTATTTTCCATAATTAAACCTTACCAACCTTTACCAACCCATATTATATTATTTTCCACAATTTATCATCAAAGTTTATTTTATTCCTAACACTGGTTTAAAAAATCCACTTAAACATTAGAACTGTGAGACTATACTGAACAAGTCATGTATTTTTATTTTTTAATTAATAAAAAATGCCTGATGCCTGTAATAGAAATAAAATGGTTAAATCATATTTGAATTGTTTTTGTAAATTTATTTATATGAAAATGAGATTAGCATTTGATATCGCAACATATTGATCGCAGACTTCCGAATCGTATCGTGACAGACTTTGTGATATCGAGAAAAATCATCAATATTGCATTGTGGTAAAGCTGGTGATTTACACCCCTAATAAGTAAACAGTTGATTCAATAACAACTTTAGAGAGCAACAAGTAGCCTGACCAACAGTTCCCCTTGTGTGAGCACGCTCGGTTTCTCTCAAGCCCCCCCCACACACGCACACACACAAACACACTTCATGGTTCTGAGCCCAACTCTTCTCTGAATTTACGATCCTCTTCATTGTTCTCCACATGTGAAACCTCCAGACTCCTCCTCAGGCTGTTCATGGCAGCTGCCTGGGTTCAACAGCCTGTTAGCTCGGCTCTCACCCACACCACTCTCACCTGCTCCAGTTTCTCCATTACCACTGCCTTCAAGTGCTTCACTTCTCAGTTTAGTTGTACAATGAAAAGATTGGACTGTCTTTTTGACATTTTGATCGCTGTTATTTTCACAAATTGGCACCGTTGTTTTGATACGTGATGTACGTAACGTATTTACCCATCAAACACTTCTCGTATTTTTAAAATGAATCTAAATATTATTAATGACCCACTTAAACTGTAAGACTGATTTGCAATTTAATTGTGCTGTTTAATTATATTTTTGTGTTCTTAATTAAATTGCCCATGTCTGAACTTTTAGGGACGGAGATTTTTTTTAAGGGTAGAAGCAGAAATGTTTACTTGAAGGAGCAGCTCTGATGTGATATTAAGAAGCTCGTAAGTGGCTGTTGTGTTTAAAATTAGTGTTTATGTAATTATTTTCAGTTTACATATTCAATATAGGTTTAATTTGTTCAAGGCAGTCAAATTGGTTCATAACTTTATTAGTAGTAAGTCTGAGAGATACCGGATCCTAGCAAACAGTTACTGGAACACACCCTGTCAAAATAAGAGTTCCCGGATCCTGTTCCAGCTCAAATTAAGCCCTGGGAGAGTGTTCTGGATCCAGTCCAACAGTGGAGTCCAGGTGCTGAGCTGGCCCACCTGCAGTCCAGACCTCTCATTTATTGAAAACGTTTCACACACTGTGACATGGAAGACCCAGGTCTGCTGGACACATGGAAGCTGCCATCAGGCAAGATCTGGCACCACAGTCCCCTCCAAGCTGCTGTATGATTACCCACAACGATTCAGACATTTAGTTTTTGTTTGTTTGTTTTGTTAGTTGTTTGTTTTTACAAACTATATGGAAATTCCATGATTTACTTAAATATAATCTGGATAAATACAAAACTTCTACTTGTCAATCCTCATTTAAACCAAACACTTAATTATCTACAAAGGTAAAATAGGGGTGCTCCAACTTTTCAAGCACATATGTCTGTTGCATTCTGTATTTTATGCTAAATGATGTAACACATGTTATTATGAATTATGTCTAAAAGAAAATAGTCAAACTTTTGAGAAAGCACAAAGAATTCTTGTTAAAGGCAACAGTGCATGTTTAGACCTTGATCCGTTTTTCCTGCAACTGAATGTTGAAGGATGGCCAGCAGATGGTGACATAACTACAGTTTTATATATGTATATATATATATAAATATATATATAAAGTTTGATATATGACTGTGATGGTAATACATTTCTTCAAAGCACAAAAACGTTTCATATTCATTCCGTGGTTCAGGAAGCTTCATTTTGTCGTCACCAAATGCAGCTGCAGCTCAAACTGTACGAAGCCGCCGGACGGTTGTGATTTGAGACCCTTATCCGGAAATGACGAACTTGAAACGCCCACTATCTGGACGTGGACCAATAGCATTTAAGTTGAACCATATTTGAGTCGATCAACTAGCGTGGACCAATCAAGCGGCACATCGTGGAATAAAGTGGGCGGGTCCTAAAAGACGTCAGTTTGTGGGCGAGCAAGTTAACGGAAGCAGTAGACTTTACCTTTCACATTAAGGTTTACCTTTCACAATAAGGTAACGTAATCATCCTTTGATTACAGTAAATAAACGATTACTTTACAGTAAAAGTATAGCTACTTTTTAAATTAAAGACTCCTTAATCGTCTTCGGTGGTTCGTTACCATTATTCTGTTATTTTAGTCACATTTCGGAACAATGCCGGAAACGGATGTTTTATTGTTGTAACTTGACGGCGGTTTCCTGGTTGAAGCGTGTTCTGTGGATCCAATGAGGTGACGACGCGTACCGGGCCCGAATGCAGGAGCAGGCTGTTGATAAGGAAAAGTGAAAACTCGTAAGAAGCCGAACATCAAGACAGGACTCGGTGGATCAAAGAGAGACGGCGGTTCGGTTCTGGTTCTGGTGTTAGCTTAAAGTAAGTTCGTGCTCCTGAACGTGCCATGGTGCTGCGGAATGTCCTGGTGTTGTTGGACTAGCTAACGCAGGCATGGTGATGGACCTGCCTCTTCGTCATGAGGAGCATGGATCTTACCTTTGTGTTCGAGTCCATGAGATGTTCAGACCAGGGCTCCAAAGTTCTGCACGCAGGAATCCAGAGAGTGGTCCACCAGGACAGCAGCTCTGTGAATAACAAGAGGTGCAGCGGCGTGTCCACATGGTGTCTCAGGTTCAGTGTTAAAGACACTTGAATCATAGAGGACTGACACGTGTTTGGTACCGGTCCATGTTTGGTACCGGTCCATGGCCTGTAGGAACAGGTCAGCTTGGATGGTTTGTCAGTGTATGTCTGTCTGTTAGTAAAATATCTCATGAACAACTGTTAGTGGTTCATGGCTTACTTTCCGGGAGTTTAGTTGAAATTGTCGTTTTGTTAATAAAACCCTGGAAGTAAACTCTGGATGTAAATGATGTCCAAGTCAAGATGGCTACCACAGCTAACGGAGTTGAGCTAACAGCAGTGACCACCTGTTCACATGTCGAGCATCATGTGATCATGTGTGATGTTTGCAGGTGATCATGGTGGAGATGAACGTGGTGCTGCTCACCTGCCTGCTGCTGGCAGTGCTGCCCTCACACACAGGTAAGAACAAGAAGCTGACATGATGAAAACTGTTCACCTCTGCTGCTACACTGTAACACACACACACATTACACATATATAACACACATCATACACACATATATGTGTGTGTGTGTGTTATATATGTGTGTGTAATATGTGTGTATGATGTGTGTAATATGTGTGTGTATGTGTGTATGATGTGTGTAATATGTGTGTGTATGTGTGTGTGTGTGTGTGTATGTGTGTGCATGTGTGTGTATGTGTGTATGATGTGTGTATAATGTGTGTGTAATATGTGTGTATGATGTGTGTAATATGTATGTGTGATGTGTGTGTATGTGTTTGTGATGTGTGTGTGTGTGTGATGTGTGTGTGTATAATGTGTGTGTGTGTATGGTG